AAAGTGGATTATGCCCATTCAAATCGCCCATAATGATACAGGGCTTGGGGAGCTGGTCATAGAGTGCCTGAAGATCAGTTTGGTGAAGAGTAGAAGATGGAGGTACATAAAGCGAACACAATGTGAAAACAATGTTGAGGCTTAAACGGACTGCAACAGCTTGAAGTGGAGTATTAAGTGGAACAGGGCTATGTATGACACCCTGCCTCACCAACACTGACGATCCTCCAGTAGCCCTAGGTCCTGGAGGAGAAAAGAAGTTATATGCATCATATTGCCTCAAGTTGATTTGATCATTATCTTTAAAATACGTTTCTTGTAAACAAAATGCTGATGGTTTAAAATCCTGTATCAATAACTGTAAATCATTAAAATTATTCTTTAGTCCCCTGCAATTCCACTGAATAAGAGTATTGGAGCCATTCATGGAGGCTCAACTGGAGTTCTTGAGTGAGAGGGAGGTCCACTCCCACGAACCGGGAGTGAGGGACTGACCTCCATCGCTAGAGGCTCAAATGGATTATGAACCTCTACTGTGGTGTCAGCAAGAGAAGGCAAATCCAAGTGCTGGAGAGCCCTTATCTTTTTTAACTTCTTTTTTTCTGTTTTAGTCAGATGGGCTTCGCCCTGAATGTTTTTGGTGACTTTCACATGGCTGGGTTCTGATGGAGGTACCGTTTTCTGAGTTTGCAGAAGCTGAGGTGCTGATGTTAAATGGTCTGTCTGGGAAGCTGAAGTAGACTTCATAGATTGAGATGTCTGTGCATCGTCGATGGTAAACTGGTCATCTTTTACCCAAGAGATCAAAGTCTGGCAGGATGTAGAGGCTGTAGTAATTTTGAGAACTGGCGGCGGAGAAGAGACTGCAGCTGAATAAGTGATATTTGCGGGTGATTTTGATGGAAGTTGTACCAATTGTTTGGCAGCAGAATAAGAAATATTTTGTGTGTGCTTCAGTTTTAAGATCTGTGATTCTGATACGAACACTGGACATGATTTGGATGAGGCCACATGCTCCCCATCGCAGTTGGCACACTTGACATCATCTGTGCACTCGGAACCTTCGTGAATTCCACTGCAACGGAAGCATCTGGCCTTGCGAGTGCAAGTTTTTGCCCCGTGTCCAAACTGTTGACACTTGTAACACCGGAGAGGATTTGGAACATAAACCTCCACTCCGATGTTAAAGTAACCGGCTTTAATAGAATTTGGTATTTTAGCAAGACAAAAAGTAAAAAGATACGTGTTAGTTGGGATAAATTTTCCATCTTCTGATTTTCTACTGAACCGCTTAACAGCAGTGACCCCTTGATGTTTCAATTCAGCAGCAATCTCTTCTTCTGCCATGTCAGAAAGACAGCGTGCGCGGTCCCTGACAATGCCTCTACTTGAATTTAGTGTCCTGTGCACCGAAACAACAACCTGGGTGTTAACAAACTGCTGTAGACCCAGCAGATTGACAGATTGTTGTCTCCGTGCACATTCCACAAGGATGGAACCAGAACGAAGACGTGTAACATTGGTAACTTCTCCACAGGCACTTTGAATGCCTTTCGAGATAGCGAAAGGATTTAGTTTTAAAGGATTGCCATCAGCAGATGCGATGACAATGAATCTCGGCCAAGAATCTGCAATCTCAGTTGATGTTTCTTCTTCGTCAGACGTTATAGAATCGACATGACGACGTTTATTTGTTTTGAAAGAACCAGATAGATTGTGGTGAGCCATGGTGTTATGTAGTGATTCAGCACCCCTGCTCCCCACCCGCCATCGAGTGTCAACAAGGACGATGTCACAGTGGAAGCCAACCTGCAACACCAGGGATACAGAGGTGCTATACTCCAGAAAATATAGACTTGAAAAGCTATGAGATCAAAAAGAATAAGCGTCAGGCTGGTTCGGCCCATAACACTTTCCCCAAGAAACACAGAATTCAGAGGTCTCTATCTCCAGATTGGCCCATGAGCCACCGCCTTCTGGCATACGACTCTAGGCAAAAAGGGAACAAAACAATGATTTTGACAACAAAGTTTAGCGTGCAATTATATTCTTAATAATATAGCCATGTATTTCATGCTAGGGCATGACGTGACCAGCCGATTGATAGAATCGGGCCAATTCTACCACCCGTCTAGGCGAAGTAAGGGTCGAAGTGGTGTGTTGGGCAAAAGGAACACTTGTTCCTGGCTCCAATGCCCTCAACCACCAGAATCCCGTCCTCCGCCGACACAGGGGCGCAACCCACGGCAAACGGGTTGCCCAATTTGGTCGCCTTTTACGACCAGCAATGGGGTGCTGTGGACAAATTCTACCCCGAGTCCACACGGGGGAAGAGCTATTAGCGTTACCCAGCACTCACCACGGGGAGGTTGCTCTTCACGAGTGCCTGCTGGATTAGAAGTATTTGAGCGTAATTTAGTAATATATTGTAATGCGAGTTTAAGACGGCGTTGTTTGAGGGAAGGTTCATCGGCCTCCACGTATAAACTGTCAACAGGAGATGTCCGGAATGCTCCAAGACAGAGCCTCAATCCCTGATGATGTATTGAATCTAACTTCTGTAAATTACTTTTACAGGCTCCACCATAAATGATGGAACCATAATCCAGTTTTGAGCGAATAAGTGATCTGTATAAATGGAGAAGGGTTTTCTGATCCCCTCCCCATTTAGTGTTTGAGACGACTTTCAGTAAGTCAAGTGCTTTCAAGCATTTCGTTTTCAGATATTTAATATGTGGGAGGAAGGTCAAATGACGATCAAAAATAAGTCCGAGAAACTTGACCTCCTCAACAACTTTGATGCGGGTGCCAGATAGAAACAATTCTGGGTCCTTATGTGGTCTATAATTTCTGCAGAAATGTATACAATTAGTTTTATTTTTTGAAAATTTAAAGCCATTGGCAAGCGACCATTTATGTATTTTATTCAGACATAATTGAAGTTGTCTCTCGATAGCATTCATGTTTTTACCCCGACAAGATATATTGAAATCATCCACAAACAGCGATCCATCTACTGAATCGCTAAGAACTTTTGACAGACTATTTATCTTGATACTGAATAGTGTGACAGACAAAATACTGCCCTGTGGGACACCCTGATCCTGATTATAATGGTCAGACAGGGTTGAGCCCACACGGACTTGAAAGTGCCTGTCAGTTAAAAACTGGGATATAAAATGAGGTAGACGACCTCTCAAACCAAAATCATGTAGATCTTGTAAAATGCCGTGCTTCCAGGTAGTATCGTATGCTTTCTCTAGATCAAAGAATATGGATACTACGTGTTGTTTTTGTACTATAGCATTTTTCACAAACGATTCTAACCGTACTAAATGATCTATAGTACTTCTGTTTTTTCCGGAAACCACATTGAATATTAGTAAGAAGATTGTTTGTTTCCAGATACCAAACTAATCTGTTATTTACCATTCGCTCCATGGTTTTACAGACACAACTGGTCAACGATATAGGGCGATAATTGGAGGGATCTGTATGATCCCGGCCAGGTTTCGGTATGGGGACTATAATGGCATTACGCCACGAAGGAGGGAAATTCCCTGAAGTCCATATCTTGTCAAAAATGTCTAAAAGGGTTTCGAGGCATGATTCAGGCAAATGTTTCAAGAGCTGATAATGGATATTATCATCTCCTGTTGCTGTATCATGAGCTTGCCCAAGTGCGGTGTGTAGCTCATGTAATGAGAAGACTTCATTATAGTCTTCACCATTGTCCGAATTAAAATTTACTTTTTTCTTTTCCTGTTGTTTCTGATATGTTCTAAACTCCGGGACATAATTTGATGATGAAGAATGTTTGGCTAACGTTTCTCCAAGTTTATTTACAATTTCAGTTTTATTAGTTAATAATTGATCACCATCCTTCAGATGCTGAACAGAAGAATGTGAGCCTTTGCCTTTTATTTTCTGAACCATGTTCCACACCTTGGACATGGGCGTACGGGAATTTATTTTGGAGACATAGCTTCTCCAAGATTGACGCTTATTCTGTTTAAAAGCACGTCGTGCCTTGGCATTTGTAATTTTAACCCTATCCAAATTATGGACTGTAGGATGTCGGCGAAAATATTTTTCTGCTTTCTTCCTACACTTTCTGGCCTGTTTGCAGTCATTTGTAAACCATGGTTTACGAATATGGGGATTTGCAGAGGACTTAGGAATGGTTTGGTCAACAATGTCATTTAGTAAGTCCGAAAACAACTGTATCGGATCTGGAATATTCTTGAAAATGTCATGTTTTAATTTGTCAGTACACAGTACCTCATATAAGGACCAATTGGCCTTGGTAAAGTTCCACCTGGATGACGGTGGCTCATCAGTAGGGTTAACAGTCTTAAGTATAGTGGGAAAATGATCACTCCCGCAGAGGTCATCCTGGACAGACCATGTAAATTCATTAAACAAATTAGAGTCTGTGAGTGACAGATCGAGGGCAGAATAAGTACCAGTGGCTGGATGTAAATAGGTGCTGGAATCATCATTAAAGATACATAAGTTATTGTCAGAAAGAAAATCCTCAATTATTTTTCCTTTATTATTAGCATTGGTACTTCCCCACAACGGATTGTGTCCGTTCAGATCACCCATGATAATGCAGGGCTTTGGAAGTTGATCATATAGATTTTGAAGATCAGATTGACGAAGATCTGAAGAAGGCGGGATATATAAGGAGCCCAGCGTAAAAGCAATGTGGAGAGTCAGACGAACAGCAACAGTTTGAAGATATGTATTAAGATGGACTAGGCTATGTATGATGCCCTGTCGCACCAAGATAGTTGAGCCTCCTGTTGCCTTATCTCCAGGAGGAGAAAAGGAATGATAATCATCGTACTGTCTTAAAGTAAACTTATCTGTACTTTTGAGGTAGGTTTCTTGAAGACATAGTGCTGACGGCTTTAAATCTTGTATCAATAATTGGATCTCATTGAAATTATGTCTAAGTCCTCTGCAATTCCATTGCATTAGATTGGGCAATTGAGTCATGGTGGCTCAATAGGAGATCTTTCACGGGAATGTGAGGAGGAACTACTCCTCTGCCTGTCCTGTGAGGACAGGGTGACCTCCATATCCAGAGGTCCAAAAAGGTTCTGTAGAGGAACCTCTGAACATGTAGGGACGGTTGTTGTTGGTTTTCTATTCAATTTCTTTTTTTCTTTTCTTGTCAAAGGAATGGTGTCCGGTAGGGACATAGACGTTGAAGATTTATTCTCGGGCTGACTCTCTGTCTGAGAATTTGTCTCAGGCTGACTCTCTGTCTGAGATCCAGCACTGGACTGAGTGGCTATGGAAATAGACTGCTTTATTGAAGCTGTTACAACAGGTTGTTCAGACTTGACCCATGTTAAGTCAGTCTGACATGAAATAGAAGATGTTGTTACAGAACGAGTGACTGCAGCAGAGTATGTTATATTGGCAGGAGCTGAGGTCTGATGTGTGAACAGTTTCTTGGCCTCGAGATAAGAAATGTTTTTTTCACTTTTGATTTTCATAATGTTTGATTCTCTTTGCCACACAGGGCAGGACCTTGATGATGCAGGATGTGGGCCATGACAGTTGAAGCAGTAAAAATCTTTTTCACAATCTGAGGATTCATGGGTGCCACCACAACGATGGCACACCACAGAGTTGTTACAAGACTTTGACCCATGACCGAACTGTTGGCATTTGTAACATCGGAGTGGATTGGGGACAAACACCTCCACTCCGATATTGAAATAACCTGCCTTAATTGATTGCGGAATCGATGTACGCGCAAACGTCAAGAGATACGTGTTAGTATTTGATATTACACCATCTTTCTTGACAGTGAAACGTTTTACTGCGGTGACAGCTTGCTCCTCCAACTCTGCAGCAATGTCCTCTTCCGACATGTCGGACAAGCAACGAGCCCTGTCGCGAACGATGCCTCTGCAAGAATTCAGTGTTCTGTGCACAGACACAGCAACCTCAATATCGGCAAAAGTTGTGATAGACAAAAGATTGAGAGATTGCTGTCTCCGTGCACACTCAACCAGAAGTGAGCCACTACGAAGACGGGTGACATTTTTCACCTCTCCACAAATTCCAGAAATTGCTTTAGAGATAGCAAACGGGTTCAGTTTGATAGGTAATTTATCGCTAGCCTCAATAACTAAGAATCTAGCCCAAGAATCAATGTTTGAAGAAGTATTTCCATATGAGTGGTCTATATCCTCAATACGTCTCTTCTTTTCATTCCGAGAGGAACCAGATTGTTGTAGTGACATGATGAAAGAAAATAATTCCACACCCCTGCTCCCCACCCACCACCGAGTGACACCAAGGACGGTGTCAAATTGCACCGGATATCCAGGATGCTGACACCAGGGATACAGTGATGCTATACTCCAGCAAATATGACTTGAATAGCTATATTTATCTACCAGATGTAGTGCCAGGCAGGTTCAGTCCATGACAAGAAACTGGAGACATACAGAATACAGAGGTCAACATCACCAGATTGGCCCATGAGCCACCGCCTTCTGGCGTAAGACTCTAGGCAATTTATTCCATCAAAAATTGGTAATTCATACAAAGTATGCATGGCCAAGTCCAAAATATACATTATAATACTACACAGGAGTGCATATACAATATTACGCACAGGGCCTGGCATGACCAGCCGATTGATAAGACCGGGCCCATCTTATCACCCGTCTAGGCGAAGTAAGGGTCGAAGTAGTGTGTTGGGCAAAGGAACACAGTTCCAGGAACCAGAGCCCTCAACTACCAGACTCCCGTCCTCCGCCGACACAGGGACGCAACCCACGGCAAACAGGTTGCCCATTTTAGTCGCCTCATACGACCAGCAATGGGAGGCTGTGGAAATATTCTGCCCCGGTTCCACACGGGGGAAGAGCGATTAGCGTTACCCAGCACTCACCACGAGGAGGTTGCTCTTCACGAGTGCCTATCACTTTAGTGTCTCATGTTGCAGTAGTTAAAGAAAACACGGTGCTCAAAGGGAAGCCCATTTCCCTCTACATTCTCAAAGTTCTTTATTAAAAGTGATTGGTCTGTGCTCGGTCCGACTTGGCCCAGGCTGTCAAAATCAACTTTAAACTCACAGATGTATGATCAAATGTGTTTACATCTATAGACTAGTATTATATCTACCTACATATCACTTTATAATGTCACAGAACTCCGCATTAAAAGAATACGGGTCCATTAAAGTCAAGCACTTTTACTGAATTTTCTCTAGACAATCTGTCACATGTGTTTGCCCCGAGTCGGCCCGGGCTGTCAAAATCAACTTAAGCCTCATATATGTATCATGCCATGGATTCACATCTATAGATTAGTATTATATCTACCTATATACCACCTGGTTTAAACATATTTTTATTTCAAAAGAAATCTGGATCGGTAAACAAGCAAAACTTGCTTATGTAAATACCTCTCCAGGTAATAACTTTACAACAGCTGGTTATATATCAGATTATATGTAAAATAGTGCTCAACATAAACATACTAAATGCGCAAATGAAATATATGAAGCCAATACAAGTGGTGTCTGTGAAAAAAGATATAGCAGTTTTCCATTACTACATGCATAAAATTAAGCTACTCGAATCTTTTGCTTTTGACAATGAAATCGTGAACTGATTTAAGAATAGTCATGTTTGTAGAACTGCTAACTGAACTATTGCCATATAATACCGTTTTTAAATCATACCCATGTGTGTAGAAGTACGTAGTGTTTCTGATATTATGGTATTTTTGACAGGTATAGAAAAAGTGAATTGCGTCTTCAAAGTGATACCCACAAGTGTAGTCTGATATGTCTGATACATGTCGTCTAAACTTATCAGCGTTTAGGTCACTGCAGCCGAGCCTAAGGCGACAGTGGACAATTTGGCATGATCTATGACCGTATTTTAGGTCAAAATGTGTAATAATTGTATCAGAACGATTAATTAAGGATTTGAATTCTTTCAATGAGCAAGAATTAGTAACTTCATTTGGTAGAGCGTTCCACAGATTAATCGTATCCAGAAGAAATGATTTAGCACAGGTCTGGGTTCTACATTTGATTGTTTGTATGTTAGATCTATTTCTAAGGTTATAATTGCTATTATCAGAGACTGGACTTGGAATGAGATCGTTGAGATATACAGGTGAAATACTGTTTTTCATTTTGTAAAATGTTATCAATTTGAAGCAGTGTCGTCGTTCTTTTAAGGACTGAAAGTTTGTTTCGTTATAAATTTTAACATGACTGTTACCCCGAACCGCCCCACAAATTGTTCTCAATGAGTCCAAATGTAAATTCTCGAGTAACAATGATTGTTCGTTTGTACAGTTGTCCCAAATATGACAGCAGTAGTCGAAGTTTGGTAGGATAAAAGATGTGTACATAGTTTCAAGCGTATTTCTTGTTAGTCTGTATTTAAAGATCCTTAGGCAGTTGATCATTGGACTGATTTTTCTAATAATTTCGTTAATGTGTATTTTCCATGAACAATCAGATTGAAGTGTAATTCCTAAATGTTTATGACTTTGTACTTCTTCAATAACAGTACTCTCCATGTATAAGTTTGGTCTAAAACCAGAATTGACTTTGCGACTGAATGTTATAGTTTTGGTCTTATCGGGATTAAAACCTACTTGTTTGGGCCCAGTTTGAGATTTTTGCCAAATCATTGTTGATACAATTTGCTGCAGAGATTTGATCATCAATGATGACATATATAGATGTATCGTCTGCGAACAGGCGTATATTACTCTCGATACCTTCGACAATGTCATTTATATAACCATTAAAAAGCAGTGGTCCAAGGACTGACCCTTTGGGGACCCCAGCTTGTACAAATTTTGATTCTGAGGTATAACCATTAATGACTACTTTCAAACCATTTCAAAAGATCACCTTGGCAAACCGTAAGCATTGAGTTTATGAATAATTCCTTTGTGCCATACTCTATCAAAGGCTTGGCTGACATCACAAAAAACAGCTCTGATTTCTTTACCTTCGTCTAATGCCCTAGCAATAAAATTATATAGGTAAGTGAGTTGATAAGATGTGGAATCGCCAGGCACAAATCCCGACTGTAAATTTGTCAACAATTCGTTTTCTCTGAAAAAGTTAAACACATATTTGAGTATACACTTTTCAAAAAATTTGGCTAAGCAACATGTAAGCGCTACAGGTCTATAGTTTGAGCATTCATGTACATCACATTTTTTGTGAATTGGTGTTACTGATGCTTGTTTCCAAACTAACGGGAAGGTTTTGTTTTTGAGGGACAAGTTAAATAATTTTGTCAGGATCGGAGCTAGACGAGTCGGTGTTAATTTAAGTAACTTGTTACCCATACCATCTGACCCTGTTGCCTCAGTTGTATCTACAGAAAGAAGAATATCTTGAACTTCTTCTTGATTTAAATTCACAGATACACTACTGCCTAGAAGTTCATTCCCCTTACACGCATGGGCAACGCGTTACGCAACCAGTGTGCATCGGGTTGGTCACGCGTGTGATACCCGTGTGCAACGCGTTGCACACGGGTGTGCACCCCGTCCGCCACTCGTGTGCAACGCGTGACACACTCATTAGAGGGGGAACAAACTTTAGACCAAAGGAGGCCCCGTCTTAAGCTGAACCTGGAGGTGGTAACAAGGAGAGAAAATTTTATTATCCTGACGAAAAATGATAATACACATGTATTTGCTAATGTCTCCTTTCTTTATGTGATTTTGTGGGAATAACATGAATACTGTTGTGTTTAAATAGATCTGTCTTGTTTTATACGACCATTGCTTCTAAATCCGATGGTGTTAAGAGAATACATGGTTCTGGAACATGTTATTGCAATTGAAATGCTTTTTTGTGATTTGACATTAAACGTCTGTAGTACGACTTTCAGTGATAATATGTATGAGGTTTGGCGGCGCATTGTTTTTATTGGACCCTAATTACTTTATGATGACTTGGACTCTTTATCTCAGCTCCATAGCCGTGAGGCTGGAAAAGAGCAGCATGTAATTAATGAGGGTCGGTTATATCATTGAGGATACACTTGAGGGAGAGAATACTAATTACCGTACTACAGGAAGAGACCTGTAGACGTAAGCGCGGGGTTGTGTTTTAGCTGGCCGTTCGATAATGGCCGCCAGGAGAAGTGAGCTTTGACTGCGTCATCTAAAATAAATAGTAAGATACAACAGTCTTATTTTCACGGGTCTGTTGAATAAACTCCCAGCGCTACGGTCAATGTATCTTCTACTTGATCCTTGATACATCATTTTGGCATTCACAATATATAGTATTTCAACGTACAAAGGAGCACTGATCTAAAGCAATTCCGCGGGAGTAGTTGTAACCTGTGCATTACTGTATTTTCCCAGTGAGTACCCGGATGATATAGCAGAAATCTAGACTTGTTCGCGACCTGTGCTCGCCACTCGCAAGCGCATTTTTATTGAAAGTAGAAGGACGTATGGTCACATTGATCAACAAAAATGAAATACAGTTTTGGAAATGTAGGTATATTTGTGGGGAGCATCGGTAATGGTGATGTCACTTGCTTGGTAATTGTGCGATCTTTGTGTACACCATTTTGACTTGCAACACAAAGTAAATATTTCATCTGAACATTGCTTATTTCACCGTGTGTATATGTTGACATTCAAAATGTAAACATATTTCACTAAGGAAATTTATTAAACGCCTAAATATTCAGTTTATTTTACAAATTAACTGAAAAATATGTCCATCTTTATTAATATGATAACGAATTCCAAATATTTGTTTATGTTTAATATCATCACCAAGTACAGTTCTGTATTGTTGGGCTTCCTTTCTTAGCATAATTAATATATTGTGATGTGTTTAAGCTCTTTTGATCGTCTTTATCATTTTTAGTCAGTCGGTGAAATAAATGAATGGATTATTCAGTCAATTTGTAAAATGACTGAAATATTTAGATATTTAATAAATTGCCTGAGTGAATCATATTTTACACATTGACTGTAACATATACACGCTTACAAAAGAAAATACTTGTGAAAACAACGTCTATCGCGCATCGAAAAACTTCCCAACCAAACGGAAAGGAACAAGAATGATTCTGTTCAAAGCTGCAGCGAATGAATGAAAACAAAATGCAAATATAATTATTACAACCTACCAAAGTTATAATGTATCCGGGAATATCAAAATAAAGGAACAATATCCATTGCGTCTGCAGCTGTACAAAAATACTTATTCGATGTCACTGTCTAT